AAGTAGTCATTTAAATTGGTATAAAAATAAATAAATTAACATATTCATCTTACGTGATATTCTACACGACAATTTTGTGTTCTGCATGACATTGTATATATATTATATCATGTAAGACACGTGTGCATTTATTTAATTTTATACAAATTCAAATGTCTAACTATCTGTACACACTAAAAGCTAAAAAGGACATAAAAGTCCACGGATACTAAGCTACCAATGAATTATTGTACATTATGAATGCTTATATATATTTGGACTTGACTTGTATACGTTGTCTTAGTTTTATTTTTATTTTTTACATTATCAATATATTTTAACATGTTTTGATAAAAATAATTTCAAAAAAATTTGCCTTATTTTTAGGTTATTTATAAACCTTTTTATGTTATATTAATCGTGTATATATAGAAGCTAAACTTTATTTGTAAAAAATAGGTACCGAAACATGAATAACTCATAATACAGAAAAAAAAATCATCATGACAAATAATAATATATGAATTGAAAAATTATAATTTTTAAGAACTAAAATACTCAAACTTTCAATTAAAAGATGACAAAGAGAAGATGAACTCTATTTTATAATCAAGAATTTTCTAGAAAGATATGATTCCAAGAACAGTAGAAGAACTCTTGGTCCTACCCTCTTTGGAAAGCAAAAATATACCAAAAGCTAGCTTTAAATCATTAAAAAGAAGAACCAATAATAATTTTAAATAACTTTAACGTTAGGAATTAAACCCACAATTTTGTGAATTCAAAAGCACTTTTAATAGAAAAATAAATTTGTTTTTATTGGTAAAATCATCATCAATAATAATAATAATAATTTTTACACATAAGTTGTATGTATAAGTCAAAACTCAATTAGCAATTAGTATTAATTAATTAGTGCCATTCTTCAATATTTGGCTAAACAAAAGGAGCTAAATTTTTTGGTAATTTTGTCAACTCAAACAAAAGGTCACATTATATTTAAAGCATATTATGAATAATAATTTCCACCAAGCCGCCCACTCACACACACCTTATAGTGGAGTTTGTGGCAAAGTTTTCCATGTCCAAAACAAGAAGAAAAAGCTCACAACACAAGATTATTATTTTTTTTCTTATAAAAAGGTATATATTATTATAATATGATGGAGATCCTCTCCACTATTATTCTTTTTGGTCCGTTTTCTCTCAAATAAATACGATAATAATATATTTAATTTAATTATATAAGATGAATTTTTTTTTATACTTTTGTGTAATAAGAAGATTGTCTCTGATAACCTTTCTACTAAAAAGAAAAATTATCAAAGTAAAATTAAATGCAAGAAAATATGATTACCATATAATTAAGCATAATGCAAATGAAATGCCAACGTAACCATATCGACCTACATACCTTTCTAAATTTTTGCTCAAATATTTTCTTTTTTTTTTCCTTTAGATTCAAATTTATTTAAATTTGAAATTCAGACAAACCTTTTCTTTTAATTAGTCTTAATAATTATACTAACCAACGTATACACATGTATTTTTATTTGCCTATAATTAAGTAATTTTTAATATTTTTCATTTGAATTTTAGGTTTTATTTTTACTTGTTAAGCTTAAATTGCGTGATATATAGAATGTGCGTATATATAATGCAAAAACCAAGACCCACTGACATCTAATTTGAATAATGAGTAATGATTGAATAGTTAATATCTATCTCACCTTTAATAAACGGGTTAAAAATAATCTTATTAAGATTATCATCTTTATAAATAAACCTTGCACTGTATCAATTGAATGTAAGTAAGTTAAATTTTAATATAAAATTATCGATTAAAAATATATTTATTATCAAATAAAAATATATCTAAAACGAAATCCACAATTTGAAAATCAACTCATAATTTAATATATATCCTTTTTATGTCTCAATCAAACCGTCTGTCCACTCTTTTTCTATTGTTTCTTTTTCCTTCTATTGTTAGCTTAAAACCCCCCTTCTCTCCCTTTCAATATTCCAAAACCAACATACACTAAAATCCCAAAACAAAACAAAGAAAAAACTCCTAACACATCTCCTCTCTTAATTTCTTTCGACTTCAACATCATCATTATCATTATCATTATTATCATGACCGGGAAAAAAACCCTAAATAGCTCGGTAGAAAGCCCGTTATCGAGCAACACATCCGATAACTTCTCTAAAGAACTAGACAAGTTCCTTCCTATAGCTAATGTTAGTAGAATCATGAAAAAATCTCTCCCAGCCAACGCGAAAATCTCGAAAGAAGCTAAAGAAACCGTTCAAGAGTGTGTGTCTGAGTTCATTAGCTTCATCACGGGCGAAGCATCGGATAAATGTCAAAGAGAGAAGAGGAAGACCATCAATGGAGATGATCTTGTATGGGCTATGACAACATTAGGGTTTGAAAATTATGTTGGACCTTTAAAAGGTTATTTAAACAAGTATAGAGAAAGTGAAGGGGAAAAAAATAGCATGGCTAGAAATGATGAAACTTCACATGAACCAATTATAACTAGTACAAATAATATTATTGGTACTAGTTATAATAATAATAATAATAATAATAATGTTACAAATTTCTCATTAGCAAGGCCTGAATTTATTCAGAGCTATAAACAAAATTATGGTGAGAATTTGACATCTAAAGCTAATCTTCATGGGGTTGGATGGTAGTTCTTTTTCTTTTCTTTTTTATTTTGGAAAAAAAAGTTATCGTGTTCTTGTTTTTTAACATATTGCATACGCCTTCTTTACATTATATTTTTAATCACGAAGGAAATCCGTCGCGGCTATTTGCAAGGGGAAAATTTCCATTTTTATGCAATAACTCGCAAATAACATAAGAGAGATAATCCACGTTAGGCAAGTTCGATGCGACAAGCTCGACCGAGAAGGCTAATATATTGTTTTTGTTGGCTAAGGAATTTTGATTAGAGACCTCCAAGATATGAAAGTCCCAAACCCAAACCAATAGCCACCTGGATACTTTTTTTTAATTATGTTTATTTGCTTTTTTGTTTTTAAATTAACATATTTTATAGCTTTTATAAATTAGTATATTAGTTAAGTATTGTAGTTGAATTTATAGGTTTGCTGATTATGTATCTTTCTGATGTAATGAATGAGCTGATTCATCAATGCCATGTTATTATTATTATTATCTAGTCAAACAGTTGTTGGGTTTAATTAATTGATTAATTATGAATCAAATGCTAAGTTGTATTTTGAGAAAATGCTTTTAAAAGTTGTATACGGATTAATTAATATTAAGTTGACCGCGTTGTTTATATAGTAGTATTATAGTAAGGTTAAATATAAGGGTAATTACCTACTGTCACCTATTAATCGAATTATGATCGTGGTGTAGTAAATGGAGTTGTTTCTTCTTTAATTAGAAATTTTGAATTTTGACTTTGGATATAAAAAAATCTTTGGTAGCGATCCCCTAAATGGGGTCCTAGGCGGTGTGAATTTTAAAATAGTCGGACTTCATTATGAATATCGAACACCGACGAAACCAAAAAAGAAAAGGTGATATGATAAACTTCAGTACTTCGAGGAAATTTCATATTGAACTACTCTTATATATTAGTGTCCGTTTGGATTGACTTATTTTAGGTAGATTTTTTAAAACCAAAATAGCTTTTAAACAGTTTTAAATTATTTGGATAAAGTTAAAAAATGTTTATTAGCACTTATTTTAAAGCCAAAATAACAAAAATAAGTCATAAACCAAAAGTTAATCCAAACAGGCTCTTACACACTTCGTCTATTTATAATTGTCATGTTACGTTTTTCGAAAGTCAATTTGACACTTTGAAAGTTAAAATTAGAATACAAGAATTTTGTATGTAAAACAAAAAAATTTAAATATTGAAAAGCTACACAAAAAGTACAACAAATTGTTAGTTTTTGCATATTAATATAATAAAAAAGTTCATCGTAAAATATTACTAATTAAGTTTTTTATTATTTGATTCTAAAAAGGAAAAGAATAACTACTGAAAGTGAACGGATGGAGTAGAACATATTTTAATTAGACATAATACATAAATATGCCCTTTAACTTGGTTTCGAATCACATTTATGCCCTTCAACTTTGGGTGTGCACAAGTATACGCTTAAACTTGTATAAAGTTGAACAAATAGACACACATGTCATACATGTCATCATACATGTCATTTTTTGTCCTACGTGTATTTTGTCATGTAGGACTCATGTGTTTATTTATTTAAAAGTTGGATAGTTAAAGTGTCTGTTTGTGCATTATGAAAATTGGAGGTCAAAATTAAAATTTAAAACCAACTTTAAGGTCTAAGGGCCCGTTTGGATGAGCTTAATTAAAACAGCTTTAAAAAAGTACTTTTGAAAGTGCTGAAACTTATTTTTAAAATAAGCAGTATGTGTTTGGATAAAAGTACTGAAGTTAAAAAAAAAAGTTGTTGATGTGTTTGACAAATAAGTGCTGATAAATAACTTTTTAAATCAAAATGTCTGAAATACCCTTAAAAACTGTTAACATAATAAAAGTTAGTTAATTTATATTTTACAGCCATAAATAATTATATTTTGCTATCATTCACAATTTCTTTCTCATCACAAATTATTTATAAGAGGAATATAAACTTATTATAGATTTTAAAGATATTTAATTTGAATAGATCAAAGAACGATTTAAGATTTATTTTAGTTTCATCCATAGGTAATAATAATTGTCTATCATTCACATATTTTTTTATTATCACAAATTATTTATAAGAGGAATATAAATTTTTATATAAGTTATATGTGCAACTTATTTTACATTTTAATAATATATAATTTGAATAGTAATTGTCTATCATCCACATACTTCTTTATCAACAAATTTCTTATAAGAAGAATAATTCATATTTCAAAAATAAGTTGTTTGATTCAAATACAAATATCAAAATGAAAGAGAACACTTTACTAACATAAAAGTGGAAAAACTAAAATAATACAAACATCAAGCGTTACCAATTTCATTAGCAATCATGTCACGAAGCCCCGTCCAATAAGTATCATTTTGTTCTTCCATATTGTTTTCTTCATTGTTAGTGTTTGAACTTGAGCCAAATTCGGAGTCAACCAATGGAATATATCTCTCATCCTCAGCCGTTTGAAATGCATCATCCACATTGCATTTTTGTTTGATATAATTGTGAATGGCCATAGTAGCAAGTACGATGTCCCTTTGAGTATCAATATTATAATAAGGCATATCTCGCAAAATAGACCACCTTGCTTTCCAAACACCAAATGTACGCTCTACTATATTTCTACATGAAGAATGCATATAATTAAATTTTTCAATGTGTCCTCTTGGCTCACGCAATTGACTTGTTGCACCACGACGAAAGTCGGGAAGATGATATCTCACATTGTCTCCTTTGTATGGAGCCATATATCCCTTCTATGTGCATATCCTGCATCCACTAAATAATATTTGTTTCCTAAAGGATGTGAAAAGTTAAGTTCTTTTCTACGAAGAGCCTCACCAAATATACGACTATCATGAGCCGCTCCTTCCCACCCAGCCCATGCAAATGTAAAACACATATTAAAATCCACAACGACAAGAATATTTTGAATCAGATAACCTTTACGTCCAATATAAGATATTTATTGATCTTGTGGCAATCTAGCTTTGACATGTGTGTCATCAAGTGCTCCAATACAATCCTAAAAATATAGGCATGTGAACTAAATAAATATAACAAGTAATACTAAAAAAATATAGGAGTTAATATTTTAAAAGATCACTCAACTTTCACAATTTATTTAACAAAGTCATTGAACATTAATTTTTAAAATATAGAATTTCTTGAAGACACATATTTTTATTGATAAATTTATTTGAATTATTTTGTTGATATAAACACCCTAAAGTTAAGGGATTTTATTGATATAAAATAACATTTAATGACTTTATCAGATAAGTTGTGAAAGTTGAATGATCTTTTTAAGATATTAACTCAAAATATAGCAAATTAAAAGTTGTTACTTACCTTAAAGAAAGGCAAATAACGCTCATTACATGGCTTGTGAGCTCCAACACCATCATTATAATTCAAATGTGGTTTAATAATGTCTCTTGCAAGTTTAGAAACGGCTATTAAAACACTATGAAAGTGTCTATGGACCGTCTCCTCCGAATGTTGAAAGATATCTTGTATCATTCGGTTTCCCACTCGATGTGCACAAGTCATTAAGAACATGCCTAACATTTCATTTATGGACATTCCACGGGTGGGCTTAAGTCCATATTTTTCTTCTAAATCTTTGGATAGATCAACAAACACCACCTTCTTTAACCGAAAGTTTTCATAACAACGAGTTTCATTTCCTTGTAATATCTCTTGAATAAATATATATCCGGAACGCTTTGATGTACGACAAGATTTTTTGAATAAGTATTTTTCATAATACATTAAAATGTATTTACCTGCTATCCGGCATAGAGACATCCATTCTTTCTCGTTTTGCTCTCTCCTAATTTGTTCTAGTTCTTCATCTTCTTCATCTAACAAATCAATTAAAAGAGGTGATATGGTAAAGTCCAAATCCTCCATTTAACTACAAATAAAAATATCTTCAATTAAAAAAAAATCAAAAGTATAAAAGTTTCATTATTTTACAAGTAATGACACATATTTTTACTTGCTTACATTTACATAAATTCAACATAACAAACACCTATATGTAAATTCAACACAACATATTCATTTACATAAATTCAACATAACAAACACCTATATGTAAATTCAACACAACATATATATTTACATAAATTCAACATAACAAACACATTTATATAAATTAAAACTTCACTTAAAGTAAATTAACCATACAATGATAATGTCCAAAACAAAATCCAAGATAATAAAAAAAGTTCATGCGTACAAGCATAATGTCAAACATAAAAGAATAAATTACTTTTTCAATAACAACACATTTTCACACTTTCTTAAGGTATAACTAATAGTTATACTCCATCCAAGACTTTCGAACTTCATCCATAGGCATCTTAAGAAACACTTGTCGAATGTCTTTTTTAAGAAACATGTTCACAAAGTAGTTGTACATTTCACCCCTTTCAAATATATTGGGAATATTTGTCAAAAAATCCATACACTTATCAATGGTGGGATCATCTACCGCATGAGATGTAGCAGCGCTTTTGTTAGACATTAACTCTAGTAAAGATTGCATATCTTCTTTCATTGATGCAGCTGTAGATTTTGTCTTACTTTTTTCACTTGATTACTAGTTCCAATACCATCAGTTGAATTTGGTCTTTTTATTGATGGTTTAGGAAACATAGAAGAATTCATATCTTCTGGATCATCGCTTTCATCACCCCCTTCATTATTAGTATTAATGAAGTGCTCCATATCATCATTATCAATACCATTTTGTCTTTCTTCGTCATAATCTATCTCACTTTCAAAAAATTAGGATTGATTTGAGGCACGTGCTCTTTCCCGCGTAGCAACAATATCAGAAAATAATGCACCATAGCGAAACCATATCAGTGAAAGATCCTTATTCCTAAATTTTCTATATCGAACATCCTCCTATAACAAAAAATGAAACAACAAATTTAAGTAAGTAAAAATGTAACTTTAAAATAAATAAAAAGATATATAAAACAACGTGAAAATTGTACCTTAATTTTTCGCTTCCACCAATCATCATCTGCCATAATTGTATTTTTAGTGGCATCACATCCTATACCTGTATCTCCTCTCATCAATTGCTTAAAAATAGTCCACTCAGCTTTCATGCCATCCCAATGATTTTTCATTTGTATATTTGTATAATGTCTTTCCGTTTTTTCATAGAATGCTTTAATCATATTTTTCCATCCATCTTTAGATAAATGAGTGTTTGGTTTATTTCCTTCCTAATCTCTAATTCACATAAGTCTATAAATTTGAGATGAGCATCATTACCCCACTTAGCATTAGTTTGTGTTTCAGACATGGTGTAATTGATCTGAAGATGAAACTGATAAGAAAATTTAAAATAACATTAAACTAGTTCAAAGAAAAAATAGAAGGAGCTGATTTAAGATTCATTGGTTCGAGAACAAATTATCTTAAAATAATTTTACTATAACAATACTAAAATCCCGAATAACCTATTTTATAATTTTATTTCAATTAAATATGAAATAAACTCAAACAAAAATTAATCCTGATATTAGTAGGAAAGGGATTCCTAAGCCTATTAGGATTTGATATATCAAAACCTACCACAATTGTAATATGTACTATATATATAAATACTCATTTTTAGCCTCTAACATTATAGGATAACTCAAAAACAAGAAAGCGGAGGTATTACTAACAAATATGGTGAAGGAAAAAGAATGTCATTCTTCATTAAAAGGATGAAGAATTAACAGTAGCTATACATAGGGGTGGGCATTCGGTATTTCGGTTCGGTTCGGTTTTTTTTTTTGATTTTTTTGGTTTTTGTAAATTGTGTACCGAATACCAAACCAAAATATTTCGGTTCGGTTCGATTTTTGTTAATTTGGTTCGGTTTTTATTAATTCGTTTCGGTTTTTATTTTGGTTTTTAATGGGCCTGTTTAGTGGGCTTTTTAAAATTTTAAACTTTACAATTTTTTCAATTTTTTGTTTGATTTTTCAACTTAAT